GTGTGTGTGTGTGTGTGTGTGTGTGTGTGTGTGTGTGTGTGTGTGTGTGTGTGTGTGTGTGTGTGTGCGCGCAAGCACCAGAATACATTTTCACGATGAATCTCAAGTTAAAGGCATAAAAGTGAAAATTAGAGGTGTAAATACCGTATGAACTATATTTTGATCATGCATTACCATCCATGACCAATGTCAGCTTCACTCAGTTCCTTCAATTAGACCTCTATATTGAACCAATACCATAATCACTTTTGAAATTAGTAAAATCCATTAACATCTCTCAACATAGTGCATTTTTTTTTTCTATAAAACTTTATGGTTTGGTTAAATGCTTTAAACATATCACATTCAAGTCATTTCAAGGTTATCAAACATAAATCTTCCTTTGTTATGATAATAAAATTAGAGCATCATGTCTTTCACCAAACTGCTTGACTGTTGGGGTAAGTTACGATATTTCCCTTTTAAATATTCCTGGTGGTAAACTAAGGTTAACAATTCCTACTCCTCCTCCTGTGGAAATATCCGGAAACGGGAGGGTCAATATCAAATTGAAATTCCTACGGTTCATTTATACCATTTACAGAGGGAAACAACAGCTTAAATATTGATTCACAGAATAATCATGAAATAATAATATCTGTGCCATCTAATATCATAAAATCTGCAAAACTTATTTGCCAAACTGACATAATAATACGATCGATAGTATCTTGTAAAGCTATAAAAATGTGAAATATCTGCAAAAGGCACTCTATGGCTATGTGTGACTTACCAAAATGCAACTACCAATATACACTGTAAACATCTTTTCAATATACCATCATAATTTTTTAGGTTATTAACTTTTTATGTGGCACTTAGCCTCTAAAATAAACTATGGTAAAAAGATGAGAAAACTCACCGTCAAGCAGCCCATAAGGCCTTGTTCAAATGCTCGTTGGAATGCACGTGCATCAGAGCACCACTCTAGAAGTTCGCGAGCAGCGTTCTGAAAGCCTGCTGGATTGGCAAGGTGCTGTGAGAAACAAAAAAAGAGGAGAAACATGATAGAAATGTTGTGGTAAGAACTGCAACAAATTCATGTAGACATTGCTTAATTACAATTTCACAATGCACCTTGTGAAGGTTTACAGGGCTGGAATACATTACAGCTGCAGAACTTTTGATTTTCACCTGATTTACACCAGAAGTGAATGTCTAAATTGTACAGAATATATGTGAATATGTGAAGAGTACTAGCCTTGAGTCTGAACAACACTCTGTGACTTTTATCAGATTAGGATTGACTCTTTCTCCCTTTTTGTCAAATTTCTCGGTGTTTTGTTGAAAGATACAGTTATCAAAACCTCCAAGTATTCTGTGTTCTATTAGTTTCTCCTAAATGTCCTACACACTCCTTCTTTCTTAATCAACTCCACAATGATTGGTTTCAATCATGATGCTTTTTTACACTTGAAATGGGACTCGCCTACATATTTATGGCTGAAGTAATCATCTTGATTTTCTGACAAACTGCTTCT